TCTCCCTATTTGTCACATACCTGAAATCATTTTGTGCCCAGAATTTCATATACTGCTGTTTGTTTAATCAAAAATATTTCCTCATGCTTTCTTAAATTCTTTAAATATATATAGCCTTTTGAAAGAGCTTATTTGTGGGTTCTATCATGGAAGCACAGCTATTCAGATACCCTTGACCAAGACTGTGCCTCCTCTAGAGGGGAAGGTCATTCTTGGAGCAGTGAGGAAGGAAGGGGACACCTGCCTAGCCGGCTTGGTCAGCCCAGTTAACCCTGGTGATCAGTGGGGTGGCAGATATCACAGCCAGATTGCCCTCACATCCTGTTATTACTTTCTGTACAGAACATCTTAATCATCTTTATACCCCCTTCCCTATTGGCACCCTCCCATAGCTACCCCCCACCGGAATTCATACATTCTGTCATTTGTGTTAAGGCCCATAGTGTCAAGTTAGTGTCTAGTCAGCCTATCTAGAGTCCCTCTCTCTCTCTTTTTAATTTTATTATTTTTATTTTATGTGTATGAGTATATTGTCTGCATGTATGTGAGTGCATCCATGTCATGCAGTGCTATAGAGGTCAGAAGAGGGCTTCGGATTCCCCTGGAACTGGAGTTAAGGATGGTTCGTAGCCACCATGTAGGTGCTGGGAATCGAACCCAGGTCCTCTGCAAGAGCAGTCAGTGCTCTTAACCTCTGAGCCATCTATCCAGCCCCTAGAGTCTCCCTCTTTAAGAAGATCAACTCTTCCTCACCCAGCAGTAATCAGTTGCCAGTAATTATTCGACTATGGTGGGGACCTGCTACCCATTTCCATAATTCTGTTCTGGGTTTTTGTCTGCTTGAGTTTGCATGGGTCTCATGCATGCTGACACCGTTGCTGTAGCAATGAACAAGGTCCCAGGAGCCTGTAGGACTCTTTATTTCCATGTCATCATGAACTTCCCTGGCTCTTACAGTCTTTCTGCTGCCTCTTCTGCAATAGTCCCTGAGACCTGGGTGGGTGGAAGTTTTTTACTTACTCTCAAAAGATATTTTCTGGGCTGGAGAGATGACTGTTCTTCCAGAGGACATAAGTTTGATTACCAGCACCCACATGGCAGCTAACAACTGTTCCAGGGGATCCAATTCCCTCTTCTAGTCTCTGTGGACATTGCATGCACAGGTACACTTACATACATGTAGGCAAAACACTAATACACATAAAATAAAAATGAATTAATTTGGGGGGGGAGTCTTTTTGAGACAGGGTCTCCCTGTAGCCCCAGGTGTCCTGAAAATCACTGTGTAGAGCAGGCTGGCCTTGAACTCACAGAGATCTGCCTGCCTCTGCCTCCCAAGTGCTGGGACTACAGGCATGCACCACCATGCCTGGAAAAATAAATTAATTTTTAAAAAGATATTTTCTCTGGCTATAGAATTCTATTCTAGCATTTATTTTCTTTAAGCAAATTACATGTGCATCCCTGTGCCTTCTATTGTTCCTGCTGAAATTTGCTGTCACTAACTTTAAAAATACCCTCTCCCTGCCCACCTAATCTAAAGACTTTCTTTCTATTCTTTTTCATGATTATGTATATAGTTGTAGCTATCTAAAACATATTTCTCTGCTTTAAATTTGTAGAGTTTATTTGACCTGGATTTGTTTCTTTCATCTGTCTAGAATATTTCCAGTCATTATCTCTTAAATATTGTCTCTTTTCCTGTCTCTTTCCTATGTTTCTGAGGCTCCACCTAACGATATGTTGGACCTTCTTATTTTGTTGTCCATATATTTTAACCTATTTTTCATGGCTTTTTTCTATGTCACATTTCTTTTGACATCTAACTTTATGTGTCCTATTTTTCAGTTTAGTTATATTCCCTCTGTGTGTCCAATGTACTATGGAATCTGTTAAATATTTAACTATGGGTTTATAATTCTAATTTTAGAAGTTTTATTTTTGTGTTTGTCAAATCTGGCATGTCTCTTTTATAGCTTCTTATTCACTGCAGATATTTTAAAGATGAATTTTATTTATTTGAACATTGAAAACAATTATTTTATAAATCATGTTTTATAGTACCAGCTCCATTGCTGCCAGTTTGCACCATGATATCTTCTTTCCTGAATCTTGTGCTCATTTCCTTTGTTCTACACATTTTTTGTTTTTGTTGTTGTTGTTCTTTTGTTGTCTTAAAACAGAGTCTCTGTAGCTCAGTGCTGTTCTTGAATTCACTGTGTAGCCTAAAGTAGTCTCAAACTTGGATCAGTCCTGCCTCAGCCTTCATTACTGCTGGAATCACAGGCCTGAACCACCACAATGACCTGCTCATTGTTTTCATTTGTTTGGTGGAGGTTTTTATGGTCATTTTGAGATTAAAAGAAAACCTCAGGGTGTTCCTGCAGCCCCAACTGGCCTGGATCCCACTATTAGACCAGGCTGGCTGCCTTTACTGCCTTAGTGCTGGCATGTGCCACTGTGCCTGGCTTACTCATTGTTTTGAAAATATTGAGTCCAATAAAATAAAATCCTTCTTTCAGAAAGGCTTTGTGTCATCTTATGGCAGGTGTCTGGAGGTAATTAATAATCCAGGACCATCTCAAATCAAGTTCACAGTTTAAAAGCTTCCCAGACTGCTCAAGGGGTGTAATAGTGGTCCTAACAAGTACTTTTATTTATATCTGTTCTTGACAGGAATAGTTTTCATGTGTTTTATAATAATGTTTGTGTGTATGTTTTATTTATTTTTATATACTTATATTTGCTTATGTTGAGTAGGTATGTTAAAGTTGTGTATATATGCATCAATTTCATTTT